TAGGCTGGGGTGAGTACGCATGGGGTGGATGGCAGGGAGGCCAAATCCCAAGGAAACCTGAGGGATTTGCCATTGGGGTGCTTCCAATTTTTATGTTAAAAGTGAGCAATATCAGCCTCAAAACGTTTTTTTTAGGACCTGGAATTTTAGCCAATCAGAACCCATCAGGGCTGACTGCCTTCCCAAAGGCTGCCCTGCCCTGAGCTTCGTGGGGTCCCAGAGGGCAAAGGTTCAGGACACTGGGCCCCAACATTGTCAGCCCTCCTCTCCCTAATTCCCTGGAAGCCTTTGGGGTTGGATGCTCCCTCCTTATTGAAAACGCATGCTGGGGTGCTGTACTCTCCCCTCCTGCCAGTCTTGCCTTCCATCTCCCAGAGTAGAGAAAGATGACAAACACAACAAATGTGTGAGGAGTTCCTAAGATGTGGAAGGTGGACCCACAGAGCAACACTGACCTGTAGCATTCCAGAAAAAAAATGGGACGGATTTGTCAACGAAAAAATGTTTCCCCATTTTCCTCAAGTGAACATAAATCTTAGGTAGAAAGGGTCTAGCAAGTGTCGAGAGAAAACGAGGTAAGACCCTGCCTCGCTCAAAATTGTGAGCTTCCAGTACATTTGGCAAGTATAAGGAAGATAACGAATGACCCCTTCCTAGAGAGAAGAGCAGATCCACTGCAGAATCACTGAACCAACACTGTTCTTGTCAGGAACAGCACCAGCTGCTGAAGACAGCGGAGCAGTAATGCCCACAGTGCTCAGGGGGTCTGCCTGGATTCCAGAAGACAGACGAGAGAGATCTCTGCCTTTATTCAAACACCTAATTCTGTAAAAAGATAAATACACAGAAATGGAGTATTTCATAGCTGTTAATGTACCCACATATAATCATAGAATTTTTTTATGTAATAGAAATTTTGAAGATTCTGTTTTTAAAAAATGTATCAGATCCACAGAGGAGTAAATGGAGAAAAGAAAGAGGGAGAAAAAAGAAAGAAAATAAAAGAAAAGAAAAAAAAGAAAAGAAAAGGGCTAGCGGTGAGGTGCTTCTTCAGACCGCTTCTTGCGAGCCACTCAGCAACCAACATGTCTAACAGAAACAATAACAAGCTGCCCAGCAACCAGTCACAGTTATAGAATCTGATCAAGCGGAATCCGCCAGCTTATGTCGAGGAGTTTCTACAGCAGTATAATCACTACAAATCCAATGTGGAGATTTTTAAATTACAACCAAATAAACCTAGCAAAGAACTGGCAGAGCTAGTGATGTTTATAGCACAAATTGGTCACTGCTACCCAGAACATTTAAGTAAGTTTCCTCAAGAGCTGAAAGATCTTCTCTCCTACAATCACACTGTCTTGGATCCAGATCTTCGAATGACATTTTGCAAAGCTTTGATCTTGCTGAGAAATAAGAATCTCATCAATCCATCAAGTTTTCTAGAACTCTTCTTTGAACTTCTGCATTGCCATGATAAGCTTCTGTGAAAGACTTTATACACACATATTGTCACTGATATCAAGAATATAAATGCAAAACACAAGAACAATAAAGTGAATATTGTGTTGCAGAATTTCATGTACACCATGTTAAGAGATAGCAATGCAACTGCAGCCTAGATATCTTTGGATGTGATGACTGAACTCTACAGAAGAAACATCTGGAATTATGCCAAAATTGTCAGTGTGATCACAACTGCATGTTTCTCTAAGGTTACCAAGATATTAGTTGCTGCTTTGACATTTTTCCTTGGGAAAGATGAAGAGGAGAAACAGGACAGCGACTCAGAATCCGAGGATGAAGGACCAACAGCAAGAGACCTGCTAGTGCAATATGCCACGGGGAAGAAAAGCTCCAAACACAAGAAAAGGTTGGAAAAGGCTATGAAAGTGCTCAAGAAACAAAAAAAGAAGAAACCAGAGGTGTTTAACTTTTCAGCTATTCATTTGATTCATGATCCCCAAGATTTTGCAGAAAAATTATTAAAACAACTAGAGAGCTCTACGGAGAGGTTTGAGGTGAAAATGATGCTCATGAACCTCATCTCCAGATTGGTGGGAATTCATGAGCTTTTTCTCTTCAACTTCTATCCCTTTGTACAAAGATTTCTGCAGCCCCACCAAAGAGAAGTAACAAAGATCCTTCTGTTTGCTGCCCAAGCATCTCATCACTTAGTACCCCCAGAGATCATTCAGTCAGTGCTCATGACTGTGGCCAACAATTTTGTCACTGACAAGAACTCTGGGGAGGTCATGACAGTAGTAATCAATGCTATAAAAGAGATAACAGCTCGATGTCCTCTAGTCATGACTGAAGAACTTCTCCAAGACCTAGCTCAGTATAAAACACACAGAGATAAGAATATGATGTCTGCTAGAACTTTGATTCAGCTCTTCCGAACACTGAATCCTAAGATGTTGCAGAAGAAATTCCGGGGTAAGCCTACAGAGGCCTCCATAGAAGAGTGTAAGAATATGGAGAATTAGATGCTAAAGATTACATTCCAGGAGCAGAAGTTCTAGAAGTTGGAAAAGAAGAGAATGCTGAAAATGTTGAAGATGGGTGAGAAAGTACCAGTCTCAGTGAGGAGGCAGATGCTGATGGTGAGTGGGTTGATGTGCATCATTCTTCTGATGAAGAGCAGCAAGAAATATTCAAGAAGCTCAACAGGATGCCCATGGAGGAGCGGAAAGCCAAAGCTGCAGCCATTAGCATGAGCCAAGTTCTAACTCAGGAAGACTTCCAGAAAATCCGCATAGCCCAAATGAGGAAAGAAGTCGACGCTACCCGAGGGAAAGCCCAAAAGAGGAAATATATTGAAAGAGATAGTGATGAGGAGCCCAGGGGTGAGTTACTTTCTCTTCGGGACATTGAACGCCTTCACAAAAAGTCAAAATCTGACAAGGAGACAAGACTAGCAACAGAAGTGGCTGGAAAGGCAGACCGAAAAGAATTTGTGAGGAAGAAAACCAAAATGAACCCATTTTCCAGTTCCACAAATAAAGAGAAGAAAAAACAGAAGAATTTTATGATGATGCGATATAGCCATAACGTCCGGTCAAAAAACAAGCGTTCCTTCCGAGAAAAGCAGCTGGCACTACGAGATGCACTTTTGAAAAAGAGAAAAAGAATGAAGTAACCTCCGAGCAAGTCTTCCATTCCAAGAAGAATGCTAAATTTGTATCATTATTTTGAAAATTAGTTAATCAAGAATGTTTACATTAAAAAGTCCTGAAGGTAAAAAAAAAGAAAGAAAGAAAGAAAGAAAGAAAGAAAGAAAGAAAGAAAGAAAGAGAAAGAAAGAAAAGAAAAGAAAGAAGCAGCCTCCTGTCTGGTCTCCCTGCCTCCATCCGGTCTGGCCCTCCTACTCCCTGCCACACTATGTCCTGCACACCCTCAGGCAAATGCTCCAGGGACACCATGGGCGGATCAGGTCACTCCCCTGTTCAACACCTTCCCCTGGCTCCCTGGTGCACTTAGAGTCAAGCTGGAACCCTTAGGGGGCTGGCAGGCCCTGCAAGATGTGGGCTCCCAGTGGCTCTCTCCTGCCTACTGCTGTGACCCTGGCCACTCCAGACTCTCTGGGCCTCTTGGCTATTCAAGCAAACTCCCAAGCAAAGTCTGCCTCAGGACATTTACCCTTGCTACTCCCTCTGCCTGGAAGGTCTTTCTCTGGGGAGTCTCAAGCCTCACTCACCTGCTTCCTCAGGTGCACCTGGGTCAAGGTAACGAGAGAATACCACCCTGTGCACCTGTTCTCTCACTTTTTGCTAAAGAGGCCCATGAGTGTCAGTGTCACAAACCTGGCCTTCACTCTTTGGCACAATGGTGGGTGCTACTCCAGGCAGAGAAAGTGCTCAGGAATTTTCTTCATTCACAGATAGCAAGTTGCTCATCCGGGGAAGAGGAAGAGGCAAGGACAATAGCTGGCACATTATGCAAAGAGTTTTGCGTGCCCCTAAGATCCCCATTGCATCCATGGGCACCCCGGGCATTAAAGGCACGTGTATCTTGAATTGGTAAATGGGGAAAGAGAAGCTCGGTGGGTGTCCAAGCGTGGTGGCCTGACAGCTTCCGCGGGAGGCAAGTCCAAGGATGTTCCTGCCGGATGGAGTAGCAGGTGAATTGGAGCTTTTCTGTTTAAACAAAGAAAAACTAAAACAGTTAAAGACATATTCACGCATCATGTATCGAGGAAAACCCACAATCTTCGCTTTCCTGGCGGATGACTTAAAAATGTAAAGAAAAACCTTTACAATCTCTTACCAAGAGCAGACCAATAGCTCAAGTGTTGGTTCAGTGAAGACTTTGTCCTTTTAACAGGGAGCAAACCGTTCTGGTTTTGTACCCATTTACCTCTGGGGCCCCTGGATGGTGCAGTGGGTTAAGCCACTGCCTCTTGATTTCAGCTCAGGTCCTGATCTCAGGGTCCTGAGTCTGCTTCTATCTCTCTAACCATCCCCCTGCCACCCCTATCCCAGGCTCACGCTCTCTCCCTCTAAAAAATAAAAATATAAATAAATCTTTAAAAAAATGTTTAAAGGTCTCTTGCTCTGCCCCTTCCCCCTCTTTCTCAAATAAATAAATCTAAAACTCATTTCACTTAATTAAAAGCCTTCTGCCTTGACCACACATTAAAATTTCTTTCCAAAGTTTCCTTCTTATAAACCTTCAACAACTTTCTTTTGATATTCACATTTTGTCCTGTTTTTTTTTTCTTTCTCTCTTACCCACTTTCAATAATTAGTCTCTCTTAGGACAAAATTCCTTTCTTTTCCTTCAACAAAAAAATGCCTTTTTGTTAGGCCACTCACAACAACTTCATGAGGCCTGAGACAAGCCGGCCATCATTCCAGGCTGTTCTCCTTGCTGACAAATCATCTGAGAGAGAACATGAGCCTGTCTGACCATCTGCGTGATAGTTAATGCAGGTAAGTCTGAAGACGGGCCTGTTGCCATCCAACCAAATGATTTTCTTTGCTACCTTTTCTTTGCCAAAGATGATCCCAGAGCACATGAACCTGAAAAGTCGTGGGATCAGTTCCCGTGATCACCCTGAGGATTTCTACCAAGTCTTAATTCGGGTAAGTGCTGGATTTTCTTCACGTCCCTCCCAGGTGTTCTTGGAGAATGAACTTTGGTGATTCCATGTGGAGGCAGCGAATACCGGCATCCACAACACAGGTGTACAGACCCACAGACAGACGAAACAGAGACCACACACTCCCTCCTCAGGGTTGCCCGGTTGGTTGCCCAGGTTCCAGAAGGAGTTCCAACTTGTGGTGTAATCTCCTCCTTGAGGTTTGTCCTGCGACATTTATGACATTGGCGTCTCAGGGGCCCAAGCGAGAGCGCAGATTCCCAGCCCTTTGGGGTAAACAGGGGACGTTGGCCGGCCAAGTGCTAAAATGGCATCATGTAATATGCAACTTAGGCTTGCCTCCAGAGCTGCATTCCAGGGCTGCAAAGATTTGTAAGAGGAGGCCAGGGACTCTCAGTTGCTCCAGGAATTGCGTTGCAGCTTCAATGTTCTCGTAGGTGGGCTCACCCTGTAGCTACCTTCTCTTTTTCAGTAAATGCCCCAGGAAGGTTGGGGAGGCATTCCTGACCCTCTGGGTACCTGGCTCCAATTTAGTTGAGGGGAGGACACATACTTTCTTTCTTCTTCAACTTCTTTTAATGCTATCAGGCTCTGCAATCTGGCCAATTTCTGATCACAGACCTACTTTGTAGTCACAGGTGGCACAAACAGTAACACTTGCTGGCCGGATTGAACAAGCCCTGTCTGTAGTTTCTCGTGGGGGTGTTGCAGGAATCTCTCAATGAAACGATTTTGGAATTCTGAGGCCTTTTGGAAACTTCCTTATGCCAAGTAAAATGGGTATCACAACCTGTTTGTTTAATTCTGAAAGCCCGACTTCAAAGTGCACTCCTTACATTTTCTTACATTCGGGGAAAGTTCTTCCCAGCGGCCTGTCACCATCCTGAAGGCTGGCAGCAGTTCAGTTGGACTCTTAGCCGCCAATGCAGTTCCACCCACATTTCCGTCAGCCCAAATCTGGTCCCAAATGGGTGCAGAGCACCATACTTGGGTCCCTCAGCGGGACGGTTACTAAAACGAGGTTTCAGGATGTAGTCACATTTTTTCACTCTCGTAGATAGGTGTCGCTTCCAGGACCATAGTTTTAGGCAGAAGTTCAGCAGGTGTGCCCGAAGGAGGCTCATTTGAGCCTCTAGAGTTGAAGCATCTATTTTGCTCACCGTCTGGGTTTCTGAGACCCGATCTAATCCCCTAAAGGGACCGTGCAGTGTTTTCTGGGGCACCTCCTCACACAGAAATTTCTTGAGGTTGGTGTGACCTACGGCCAATATGACCGGTTCCACAATCAGCTCATCTGAACTCAGGAATCTTTGGGTTTGGTGGCAGGTGCTCTGAGAGCTCCGAGTGCTCAGCTTTTATGGCTTTCTGGCCTCCAGGAGTCCCATCAGGGAAAGGCTTCATCCACACAAGAGGAGACAGACAGGTGCACCTACGTATGCGTGGTAACAGGGGACGTTACTGTGTCCCGGCCGAGTGAAGGCCCCGGGTGCACCCCACCCCCCAATTCCCATGCACCTGCCACTGGGGAAGGGACCAAACCAGCAGGCCGGCCCCACCCACAGGGGCTGGGACTTGCTCCCTGCCACTGACCGTTCCCCCTTGGAATTGGGACAGGGTTAAGGGCTGGGGTTTTCCACTCAAAATCCTAGCAGGTGTGGTCTGAAAGGCTAGGGGCTCAGCTCTGGGCAGAGCCCTCTGCGAGCTCAGCTGGGCTCCAGGCACCACGGATCCTGAAATGTGATGTGAAAATAATGTGCAAATTAGCTTCGAGTGATAAGCAGGCTTCCATTCCTGGATGACTAAAACTATGACATTCCCGGGTGGGGCACGTGGGGCCCTCAGTGAGTGGAGCCTGGGACTCCTGATGTCGGGGTTGTGAGTCTGGGCCCCACAATGGGTGTAGAGCTTCCTTAAAAATAAAATCTGTCCAGGGCACCCCAGTGGCTCAGTGGTTTAGCGCCACCTTCAGCCCAGGGCCTGATCCTGGAGACCTGGCATGGAGTCCCACGTCGGGCTCCCTGCATGGAGCCTGCTTCTCTCTCTGCCTGTGTCTCTCTTTGTGTGTCTCTCATGAATAAATAAATTAAAATCTTTGAATAAATAAAATCTGTCCAAAAAAAATCAAATTCCTACGGATACGTCATCCCTTGGGCACAACCTACAGCAGGTCACCTTCAGCACGGGGAACCCATTCCTCCTGAGCACTTATCCCCAACTGGTCACCAAGTGCCCTGGAGGAGGCCCGGGAGCCTCCAGTGGAAGCTCTAGGTCTACTTCTGGGGCAGTCACGGCTTCGCGGTCTTAGACCAAGCGCCAGGTTATGGAAACTACAGCGCCTATTTCTGGTGCCCCCATTTTTATGTCTCTCTTTTCCACCAATTGGGCAATCAAGAGAAGCCAGATGCACAATTGTCAAAAGAACTCTCTGAGATCACCCCTGAGACCCAGCCTCCCAAACCAGGGCAGGGTGGGTGGCGCCCCCTGCGGCGTCTGGGAGCATTCTCACGGGTCAGGAGTCCCAGCTGGGAGGGCAGCTGAGGGGGGCCGCCTCATGTGCAGAACACAGATGGATTCCCAGCTACAGAGAGGAATGGACAGGGCTGCCTGGGGGTGAGCTTCGGGCCTGAGCGTCAGCAGCCGGCAGCCTGGCAAGCTTCAGAAGAGGTGGGGGGTGGGAAGGAGGCTCCCCAGCTTGTCCTGTGGTGGCAACAGTCGGACCGTGCCCTGTGCTGCCTCCTACAGGTGGACCTCAGGTTTGCAGAGAGCCTTCCCCATGGTAGGAGTTCAAGGACTCACTTCTGAATTCTGGAGAGAAAGCTTTTGGAGGAATCGGAGACTTTGGCAGGAACACGGATTATAGCTTCGTTCAATGAAAATGATGCTGTGACAGAGACAAACGGAAGCACTGAAAACGGTGACTTCCAAGTGACCTGGCTTTGTCTTGAGGCTGATTGACGTCTTGCTGCTGAGGGAGGACAAAGAACCTTCAATCATTTCCATTTCTAAAAGCTGAGAGCCTTGTTTTTGTAGAGAGACGGTTGAGTGGGTAAATCTGGGAGGAAGGACCAGCACAGAGATGGGGGATGGAGAAGACAGTTGTCCTCCTAGTGACATGACGAAGGTTCTGGCCAGGCCCGAGGCTCCTAGGGCTCAGGAGCAAAGAAGGGGAGGGGATGTGAGAGCAGTGGGAAGGGCAGTCCAGCCCCTTGGGTATAAAACCCTTCTGTGAAACCCTACCCTCTCGAAATCCCAGTGTGAACAAATACCCTTTATCACTTTGAAGGTAAAGGGTGACACTCCTCGTGTGGGGGTGGTGTCATCCTAGGCACAAAGGAAGGCATAAAGGTAAATTGGGGTGAGGTCGTGAGTCCAGGGAGAGTTTAACTTGGAATCCTCAGTAACCATGAGAGAGAGTCTAGGGCACCATACCCCATGTGCATGGATGCAGAATTTCCAAATAAACTGGGGGTTTTCCTGGTTAGGGGAGAGCAGGCCTGGGGCAGAGGTGCTTGGAGGAACCTATGTTTCCCAGGGGCCTCCACGTGCTGAGACAGAAATCCATGGACACCGGGCTTCCACCCAACAGCACCTGCTGGAGGACAGTGGTCACAGAGACAGGTGTTTCCTTGGGCATAGAGAGCCAGGGACTAGGGAGGAGAATTTCAGGTTGACTGCATGTCTCTAAAGAAATCCTGGCATAAGTCATGGGGGTCTGAGGGAGGGCAGGGGAACATGTGAGCCCCGCAGGCCATCTAAGTGAGCTGTGCCTTCGGGTAGCAAGCCATAGTCTGCCCACCCACCCCCACAACCCCAGGAAGGAGGAGAAGCCTCTGGCTCACCATGTGGCCAGACGCCTGCCCAGCACCCACACCAGGTGAACAGGGGGCCAGGCTGAATGCATGCTCTCACCCCGGAGGCTGCCTGCAGGGGGCGGCCTTGCTCACTGTGTCCTGACTCTGTGAGAGGTGAAGACTCCTCCCCTTGCCCCCACCGGAATCCTCAGGTCCCTGAGTTCAGGTGTGAGGATGGAGAGGGCCCAGGGATAAGGTCACCTGCTGCCACCAGGATGGAGCAGAGCAGAAGCATCATAGCTGGAGGAGCCTGAGATGCTGACCGCCAAGGGACACGCAGGTAGGGACACCTCCGGAAGGCTCCCTAAGTGAGGCTCATGACGGGCCTCTGGACAAGCTCTCCAGCTGTCACAGGTGTGAGTCAGGCAGCCACAAACGCGACAAAGGTGGCCACATGGCCATTGTCTGTGTGGTCTCAACTCTCTCCATTTTTGTCATTGTTGCATTTTGAAGAGGCAGAAGTCATTTCAAAGATTTCTCTTCATTGCTATTTACTTATTATGTGTTTTGTTTGTTTTTTCATGTTGCTAAGCTCCAGACTTGGAATCGATGGTCTGTTGCTCTGGTAAAGATGTTCCTCACCACCTTGGAGCCAGGACTGTGAGGCACAAGTATATCGGAATCACCTGGAACCCAGCAGTGTTGGGGACCCCGTGTTGGCACTTCCAAGGATTTAATACAAGTGACAGCTCAGCTTGTTTCCATCCTGCTGCTAAATTAAGTAAATAAAGAAGATGAGAACAATGAGGGCCAGATGCCTCCCTTTTTAGCCCTCTGCCTCCTGAACCTTCTGAATTTCCCATCTTGTGGTTTTCTGTAACTTCTAGTAAACTGTGAAACAAAGCTTATTTTCACTTTCTCACTAACAAGTTCTAGAACTTCATTGCTAAAAGCTGTATTGGGTATTTCCAGCGGGGTGCTGGGGATGTGGTGGGAGTGAGGGCCTGGCACTGTCCTTGAAGGCTCAGAGGGCCTCGGCAGGGCCAGAGGGACAGAGAAAATCTGAGTCTTAACTAAGCTGAGGCTTAATATTGTCTCTGTAAAGTATTGTGAATCAGGACATTTACTTGATGTTTTGAATCTGCAAGTCCTCACCAGCAGGACAGACACAAAACCCTTTCATATTCCAGCATCTCTTTCCTGGGAAGAGCCCAGCTGGGCTCGGATGTGCAGCAGCTTAGTCACAGACAGTTAATCAAACCTGATGACATCTCTGTCTCCGGTTCAACAGGGAAGCCAACATTTAAGGCTGCTCTCTGCTTTGCGAGTGCCAATGAGATCACTTTTCTCTGGATGGGAAGAGAGCTTGGCATTCTGTTTTTGAAGGTACTAAAGAGCACATGCACAGGCACCTCTCTAGTTGGGACAGCCTGGCCTGCTGGGAAGTGGGGACACAGGCCTCTCCTGAGCAGGTACGTCTCCTGAATGAATGCCACCCTTTATTTCCCTCAGCCTGTCCTCCTCCTCATCTGCCTCTGATGAGAGTTAAACCCTGGGCTCACTTTTCTCCCATCCTTTCACCATGTTTCTCTGTCTGGATTACTTCCCCCCACCTTCCCTCCCTCTGGAGGGAGAGCATCAGGCTCTCCTCTAAGGCCGAGTCCCTGGTCAGGAAGGGCATGTTGTGCTCAAGATACGACACTCTCTGCCCTTGTCAGTCTTCCCTGTCTCCCTCAGGATCAGAAACAGAACATTTTTGCTCAGGCCCTTATCAAATGAGCATGAGTTCCAAGTAGCAGGACTAGGAAGGAACACAGAGACCAAGACCATAAGGACCATCACCCTAATCTCTGCCTTCTGAGGAATAGGGTACAGGAAGAGATAAGTAGAGGCTGGCATCCTGCTGCCTCAACGAGCAGGGGCACACTATAACCAACATCACAGTCTACCTGTTCTTCATTCCTTAGGAAACAGAGTCGTGGGCACTTTCTTGTTGGCCTCTCCTTCTCTGGGCTCCAATTAGCTTAACATTCCAGAGAGGGGCTGCAGGGGCAGGGGTCTGGAAGAAGCTGCTTTGGATGGCATTTCCCTTGGTAGACAGTCCTGGAAGAAGACCACCGCCCCACTAGCAGTCTGCTCTACAAGTGAGTCCTGCCTTCCCACATCTCTGAGTGTAGGGTAGGCAGGGCCAGCAAACAGGTTCCGACTGAAAACAGGTGCTACACTGGCTGCCTCTAGGATCTGAGACCTCAGAGAGATCAAATTAACACTTATGATACCTCCTTAATTCCTTAGGTACAAAATTTGAGTTATGCAGGAGGTCATGAGAAAATTCCCATCCTGTCCTCATCCTTCCCAGAGACCCATCACACAGCCTTGTTTAGCAGAAAATATAGGACCAGGGAGAGCATGGCATAGTGGAAGGACCTTAGCTGTCCAACATTCAGTGGAGGTATTGACAAAGACTTAAGAAACCAGGAGGGGCTCACGCTCATCTGAATTGAATATAAATCTACTTAAAGAGATTTATGAGGGCTCTCTGAAAGTTTTATTAGAAAAGGAAATATGGGTGGTGTGGTGGGTGTGAATTTGTTGTTACTATAATCTGGTGTCCAAATAATATCTTATTTCTCACTCTCTTGAAGTCATCTAGAATCTGACACTCCATCACTACCTACCTGGATGGTAAAAACATCCATCTCTGTTATTTCAGGGGCTTCTCTCCTCATTTCCTTCAGGAGGAGTGTCTAAAGAAGAGACACATCAGTGGAAGTTCATTAATTTTTGCCTGAACTTACAGCAGAAATATTGGCCTCTTCTGAAGCTCCTGGTTCCTGTTTTAGTTTTATGCTCAGGGACTCACTGGTTCCTGCCAGAGCTGAAATCCACAGAGATGAGGGGCCACCTTTCCCAGTGGACCATGTCCCTGTGAGGTCACCTGCTCCTTCAGGCGTTGCCAGAATCAAGGTGGGGAGAAGCGATCCCATTCTCCCACAGCCCCCAAGGCATTCACTGCTCTCCCCACTATCTAGGTAATCCTGCAAAGGGCTTCAGGCTTCCAGATAAACCAGCAGGTGTGGGGAGGTTGTCTCAAACAACTCTGTTTGTGCTTGCCAAAAAATTCTCCCTGAGGCCAGGCATAAAATGGACTGGAAACTTCTTGGAAGAATGTGGGAGCTACTTTGAGAAAGGAGAGAGGAAAGACAAAAAGGGTTTAGCAGGTCAGCTGGTATCCTGCCACAAAATGGTTTTTGTCCTTGAGCTGAATGTTATACAAAAGGAAAAGAGGTTTTAGGGGAGCTTTTTAATGCAACAGAAACTGGCTGGCTGAAAGTTAAAACAGGATGCACAAATAGTTGAAGAATTGAAAGGAGAGATGGAATTTCTAAGAAAGAGTCCATGGCTAGAAATAAAATCACACAGTATCAGAGGTAAAGAATTTCTGTGCTGGGCTCATCAGTAGACTCAATACAGGAGAGGACAGAAGCAGTGAACTTGAAGACTGGGCAATAGGAAACAGAAACATGAGGAGACATAATAATAATTACATTAATAATAGTAAGAAGAAACCAGCACATAGCATCCAATAGCCAGATAGCCGTATGATAATACAAAATATTCTACAGATGTGATTAGTTTCCCAGACAGAGAAGAAAGAAAAAATGGGATGGAATATTATACTTAAAAACAAAGGAGCCAATATTTTCCAAAAATAATGAAAAACATCAAAACACAGATCCAAAGAAGCTAAAAGAATCTCACATAGGAGTACACACAACATCACCACCAGGACCACCAAACTGCTTAAAGCCAAAGAGCAAATCTTGACGACATCAGGAGAATAAGGTACTTTAAGTAAATTGTGATAAATTAAAGGTATATACCCCAAACACTAAAACAAGGTATGTCTCTACATGAGAAGATGAGATGGCTAGTGATGTCTATTCTGGCCACTATTTTTATACTTTTTCTAAACTGAATATTTTAGTTACATGATTTAAACATAAAAACAAAGATTCCAAATAACACCAACTTAAAAAGACACATTTCTTAAGAAAAAAGCTACATAGTGGAAAGGGGGAAAAGACCTAGGAAGTAGAGTGTGTGTGTGTGTGTGTGTGTGTGTGTGTGTGTGTACCAGAGGGGCTGGTGAAGGAGTCCCTCCCAGCCCTAAGTTCTATGAATAAGAGGGAGGCAAGATACTGGAGCCATTGTGGCTCTGGTCAGCCTGGCAGCAAAGGAGCCTCTAAACCGAAGGCACCCTGAGGGCAGGGAGCAGGTCTGTTTTATTCACTGTTCTATAATCATCTAGTTCCCAGGCTTAGCCAGCAGAAAATATAGGTTGAAGGAAGGAAAAGAGGGAAGAGGAAAGCTTGCTATCTGGCAGCCAGTGATAGGGGAGGGAGGGAGGGTTGGAGGTGCACAGAGAAAAGGGGAGGTTGACACAGGAATCTGAGAGAGCACCAAGGGTGGCAGGAAGCAGAAAGCCTTGATCTGCTGGGTCAAGCTGTGGACATGTCAACAGCCACAGCTGAGCAGGGCAGGCTTCAGGCCTTGAACGGTACTGGGGCAGGATGGCCCTGTCCTTTGAGGCTACAGGAGCACAGAAAGGACTAACTGAATAACTCACCAGTTCAAAGAATGGCCAATCTCTACGGTTGTTTCTAGTGTCACTGTGGTATTTCAAAACCAATTTGCACCCTTGGTTTGCAGAAAGGCAGGGAGAGATGCCCAGTGTCTCGGTCTCCATACGGGAGCTTCTTATCTGGAAAGAAGACAAGAAAAGAGCATCTCTGATTTGTGGCCTGCAAATTCAAATGTTTGTCATCTACAAGGTAAACGATACATACCCATGGAAAGAATGAGTGATTCAGCCAACAGGAAGAAACGGCACATAGTCCTGAGTTGCCAGGTAAGAAGGGACACCAGCCACCCTGCAATGGCCACCCTAGTGGCCATCTCCCCGCAAACCCTCACCTTGCCCCCACCAAGGCCTCCAGTTTCCAAAAGCACCACCACAAACAGGCTCTGCTACAACTTTTATAGCCAGTCCCGCCCATCCTGGGGTCTGCATGGGGACTCCCCAAAGACCCAGGCATCCCTCAACAAGCACTTCTTCTCCTGATATGTCTGTTGGTCCAGTCAAGGGTCGGTGGCAGTCCAGCACCAGATCCAGGACCCTTTTGCAACTTTTTTTTTCCCCCAAAGGATTTCACTATCACTTTATTCACTATCACATGTGATGCTTTAGATCATAATCAAATACTGCTACACTGATTTCAGCCCTCAGCTCAAACAATGGAAACGCTAATTTTACAAACAGCGCCAGAACCCAGAACTGGGATTGTTTTCACAGTGCTTAATGGTGGAGTTTGCAAGGAAGAGCCTAAAGCCAAGACCTGTAGGGAGTTTCCAGAGTAAAACTCTAGCGAGCTGATTATAGAGATATGGTGACATTTACTTAAAACCACCACCCACGGGGATATCCCTGATGTGTTCTGGCCAGGACCCCTTTTTTCAACTTTTTAGGAAAAACACCCTTCTGGAGCTCTCCGCTTTTGCCCCCGGGGCTCCTGAGAGCTACCGCCCCAAGATGAAGCAAACATCACTCAGGTGATTTTGCACGTCCCACCTACCTTCAGAGGCTGTCAGAGAGTTCTGCAGGCTCCCTGCAGTCTGGGTGGCACTTGGCTCAGCCTGGGAAACTCCATTGGCCATAAAAATCTTATAGACGTAGACTCTTAGATTCTGGAAATGTACTAGAATTGGAAAGTGAAATTGGGCATCACGAGGCTCTCCAGGCTCTGTCTTCCCACAGGTCAGGAGGGACCACATTCTCTGGGGCCCTGGCAGCCTGGACAGTGGCCAGTTCCCAGGCCTCATGAGCCACCTGGCGGAAAGCTGGGGATTTCTGGGTGCCTGGCTCATGCCTGGGAGGAGGCATGCCTGCCTGAGGACAGACAGGATCCCCCTCTACTCCCAGGGACGGACTGGGCTGCCCGGGGAAGGTCGGGTCCTACACTGTAGCTCCCCAACCCCACTCATATGGACCCATCACCATCTTCCCAATCCCTCCTGAAGGGCAGCCCACGTTGCCTTCACCATCCACAAAATCTTCTTTGCTCCCTTTCCACTCAAATTTAGGGCTCTCAGCAACAAAGCCTGAGGCACTGGGGAGTGTCAGGGATTCGAACTGAGGTGGGAAGGAGGTGAAGTAAAATGGAAGGCAGGGGAGGAAGGACAAAGGGAAGAGCAAGGACAAAAGTGGAGGAAGCAAAGGAGAGGAGGCAGAGAGGGAGGAAACACAGTGGGGTGAGGGGGTGAAGGCTATGATCACCTCTGAGGTTAAAGGGAGGCCCTGGGTCTTGCTCTTCACCTCCCCGTGGCCCACCAATTCACAGCTCACCTGAAACCAGTCCCCAAGGTTTCTTCTTTTGCTTTTCAGGAGTGCTTTCTTGCCAGATGCCCAGCCCGATGCAGAGGAACTGCATCAGCATCACTGGCAACAGCACCAGCACCACCAGTAGAGATGGGATGCTGAGACTCCTCTTGCACCCACGACCAGGGAGCAGAAGGCAGGACAGAGCCACAGGTGCACAGGCCCTGAGTATCTGGCTTTATAACCCTGGCTGGGAGGGGCCCCGATGGGAGCTGAGACAAAGGGCTGCACTCTCACTGCAGAGTGAACAGAGGGCTGGTGGGAGCCTTAGCCTTCCTGCCTGCCTTCAGGGGGGTGAGCACACACCACCATGTGACTGCCCATATTTAGAGAACATGCTCCTCAATAGAGCATGAGCGCAGATTTCTCAGATATGGATGGGCACCCAGACTATTGCTGAAAAAAAAAAAACAAAACAAAACACTAAACCAAACATCCTGCTTAACAAAAAATAGTCTAACCATGAGGTGATCTTCCTTAGGGACTCTAGCAAGGGCCAGCCACTCACGTCCTGAACCCTAACCTGTAAGGACCCCTCAGCCTGTAAGTGGCGAGGGCTCCAGCCTTAGCTGGGGACCCCCTCTCCAGGTTTCAGTTGCCGCAATTAAGACCTGTGTTTGCTTCTTCTCTCTCTCCCTCTGTCTTTCTCTCCTTCAATCTCTTGTTGCAAGAGTTAATCAATTGCATTCATTCAATCTATTGCATTTATCTTCCAGATTAGCTGTATTCCAGATTAGAGATGTTTGTTTATATGCTGAGGAATGTAATTTTAAAACTTTGATCTGAAAGGGTACATGGCTGGCTGGGAGGGTGGAGCGAGCAACTTTTCATCTTGGGGTTCTGAGTTTGAGCCCCATATTGAGTATAGAGTTGCTTAAAAATAAAATCTTTAAAAACAAAACACCTGGATTTTAAGAGTTTTATAGCTTTGGATCAGGCTCCTCTGCAGCCTTAGAACTTGGGTCCATCCTTACTCAAACATGGTAAGAATGACTTGAAGAATAAATATATCTGCTCCCCTTCTGCATTAATATTCTCTCCAGTTTAAGAAATAGAAACCCACTAAAATGGAGGGCTTACTCTATAAGGGTGTAATTATTCCCCCATCCCTCTAAAATCTGAGGAGGCTGACTCAACTATGCCATCTCAAAACAACGTAAGACATTTATAGAGAGCTTGCTATGTGCCAGACTTAGTGCTGAATAATGTCAGGGTCCTGGGATGGAGCCCCGTTTCAGGCTCTCTGCTCACAGTAGGGAGTCTGCTTCTCCCTCTCCCTCTGCTCCTCCCCTGCCCCACCTCATGATCATGCATGTGCACTTTCTCTCTCTTTCTCTCAAATAAAAAAGGAGAAAATCTTTAAAAACAAAACAAAACAAAAAACCACTGGAGACAAAAGAATGCATAGATTGGATGCAACCATTAGTACCAACTCTCATTTCTTATCTGGCTCCAACAACAGCAGAATTCCTGGCAGTGGGCAGCCCCTGTGGTGCAGTGGTTTAGCGCCGCCTGCAGCCTGGGGTGTGATCCTGGAGACCCGGGATCGAGTCCCTGCATGGAGCCTGCTTCTCCCTCTGCCTGTGTCTCTGCCTCTCTCTCTCTCTTTGGGTCTCTATGAATAAATAAATAAAATCTTAAAAAAAATAATTCCTGGCTGTTATTTTGATCAGCCATCCTGTCAGATATGAAAAAGTATGCAAGGTTTCAATATCCTGAAAAGTTGGCCACTTTTCCCAGTAATTACAAGTACATGGATTTAGCCCCCTGGTGTGCTGGTAAACGTTTAACAACTGGTTTGTGGGGTGAGCCTGGATGGGAAAAGCCCTGATTTGTAGCCTTTGCACATTTCCACGGTGTAAATGTCAATTTTCAGCTACCATCCTGACATCACTGAATAGGGAGTTGGGAAGAGATATGCCCACTATTATAGAGTATTTCCAGCATATAGATACAACAGTACTAAATAACCTTATGAGCATAGATAATAGTAAAATGTCATAATTAAGAAGTGATGAAGTTTTGAGTATTTGTTTCTAATATGTCAGTTTATATGTTAATTTTAATAGCTGTGTTCAACAAACAGCTTGTGGAATTCCTGAAACTTTACCAATTAGTACTCTTCAGCCAGTTCAAGCCAGTTCCCAGCACATCACGGGTTAAGTTACCACCACTCAAAGAAGGTGGGCATTGAAAGGTAGAAATTGCTATATCCTTCTACTCATACAATTCTCAGTGATAATATCACATGCCCCATCTCTGATTTGATAGATCGGGGAAGGAACAAATCTACACAGACAGCCAAATCGAAGATTTCCCCACTTTTGAACAGGCCTCTCCTCAGGTTTGTGCCATATTCAACAATGCATTGTCTCAAAAGGACTGTGTCTAACCATCTGTTTGCATGCTAGGTGACTGACAGGGATGTCAGGCTATGGAAACTGAAGCTGGAGAAGCTTGATCTTGGACATCTTTGTTTGGAGTCTGCAGAAAATTCAGAGGAAATTTATTGCTCAGGATTTTAGTTTTAGAAGTCAGTTTTGGCAACAGATCAAAGGAAAGTTCTGATGTGGACAAAAGACCAAGAAGCAGCTGTTTCAGTGGTCCAGGAGAAAGATGAGCTTGAACTCAGGTTATGTCAGTGGAAAGAGAGAAGAGCTGATAAATGAAAGAACCAGTTAGAGGTAAAACTGATATAATGTGTGAGGGGAGGGCAAAGGAGGAGCTGGTTACTGAGCCAAAGGTCCCAGGAACAGAGTTGGGGTACAAACAATGAATTCAGTGTTACAAACATTGAGTTTGAGATGTTTTGTTTTTTTTTTTTAATTTTTATTTATTTATGATAGTCACAGAGAGAGAGAGAGAGGCAGAGACACAGGCAGAGGGAGAAGCAGGCTCCATGCACCGGGAGTCCGATGTGGGATTTGATCCTGGGTCTCCAGGATCGCGCCCTGGGCCAAAGGCAGGCGCCAAACCGCTGCGCCACCCAGGGATCCCGAGTTTGAGATTTTGTAGGAACCCACATAGAAATGTCCAGCTAGTAGTTGGGTAGCTGAGTCTGAACTAAGGAAGAAGGGCCAGCTTATAGGTTTAGAGAGTCCTCAATTTGTAGGTGTTGATTGACACAGATTAAAACTATTCATAGGGAATATGTAAAAAGTAAGAATTAGTTCTCATCAGGAGGATGGGATGGAGAAGTACAATTTCAGGAAAAGTGGGGAGGAGCACCATGAAAGTCACAGAGTATTGTACATTCAGAGAATAACTAGGAACTGGGTATGGGTGAGGCTTGAGATGGACATAGGATGAAGATGTAAGAGAAAGGGACAAGTGAGATGACACTAAGGAAGCAAATGTGGGGACAGATGGCAAGACGTCTTGATGGCTTTCGCTGGCAGCAGTACTGCACAGATGAAGCAACACACTTTCCAATTTTACTGCCCCCTGCCCCCTGACTTCTGAGAAGCTTCAGGATGGTTACCACAGCTACGACCCCTTCCCTAGGTTTCTTAACAGAGATCACCATTCCAGGTGTAACCTAGACTCTCAGTGTCTTTCTGACATGAATTGCATAAAAGGCCTATGAAACAGGCTGGCATTAGAATTTTGTGCAAAAATGATGATTGTGAGAGTTTAAACCATTGAGATTCTCTGTCTTGAAAACTGAAAGTAAGGATGGGGCACCTGGGTGGCTCAGTGGTTGAGCGTCTACCTTTGGTTCAGGTCATGTTCCCAGGTCCTGGGATCAAGTCCCACCTTGGACTTCCTACAGGGAGCCTGCCTCTCTCTCTCTGTGTCCCTCATGAAGAAATAAATAAAATCTTTTAAAAAAAATAAAATAAAAAAGAAAATTGAATGTAAGCAGAGTCAACAGTGCATATTAGGGCCAAAGGACAAAGGCACACATCAGAAGTCAGGGGTGAGCACAAGCCATGAATAAACAGAAATCATGAATAAGCAGAAATAGCAAGCACTCCAAAATGATGAGCAAGCAAAAATTCCAAATCAGTAGGAATTATGAGTAAGCAGAAGTCACAAAATAGAGGGAACAGAACAAGAGCAGTAGAAACACAGGCAAGAAAACTAGAAGAAACTAAGACCTACAGGATTATTAGAACTAGAACTGGAGGTACCTGGCTGGCTCAGGCAGTGGAGCATGTAACTCTTGATCTCAGGGCTCTAAGTTCAAGCCCCATGTTGAATGTAGAGCTTACTTTAAAAAATAATAATAAATTGGGCAGCCCCGGTGGCGCAGCAGTTTAGCGCCTCCTGCAGCCCAGGGCGTGATCCTGGAGATCTGGGATCGAGACCCACGTCAGGCTCTCTGCATGGAGCCTGCTTCTCCCTCTGCCTGCGTCTCTGCCTCTCTCTCTCTGCATCTCTATGAATAAATAAAATCTTTAAAAATAATAATAATAATAATAAATTAAAAATAAAAAGTTTATTTAAAAAAGAAACCAAACTGGAACTGCTAAGTATCCAGAAACACCTTCCAGGTGACAGACTGTGTCCAGGTCTCCATGAGGCCCAGGCTGGGTGGTGTGTGTTCCTACCTGAATATCTGAGTCACCTCCCATTATTTAAGGTCAACTAAGATCAACTGAAGGAGGCATGGTATCTTTCATCTCTTCTGTGTTTTCTGTTATTCTTTCCTGGATTTCTTGGCTTGCTCATTTTCCCTTCGACCCCAAACAGCTGTCTCAGACTTGAGTTACATAACCTTTCAACTCAGCTCTCTCTAGATAAGACTATTCCTACAGAGCCTAGTTGCCTCTCTCTGTGTTCCAACTGCAAGCCCTTGGGAGAAGACTGTTCAGTTCAGCTCATCTTTTTGAACCAGGCCACAAATATTACCAGCCAGGGTTGACACCGCGGTTTCTTTGCTTCGCTTCAGGCCTTTAGAAACTGGAGTTTCAGATGAACACTGGGTGTTATACTATATGTTGGCAAACTGAATTTAAATTTTTAAAAAATGTAAATAAAAAATAAATGTCATTGGTCATTTGAAGAAAAAAAAGAAACTGGAGCTTCACTTTTATCTAGGATGCAGAGATGGGCAGAGGAAGGACACAGGGATTGGAGCACCTCTGGACATCTTAGCTCTGGAGCACTTCTGGTCCCACAGCAAATTCTCCATCACTCCACGTTTTCTTATACAGTGTGCTCAGATACTCACAGGTTTGGCTCTGCAGTGCCAGACCACTGGCATAGGGAGAAAAGTCTCCAAAGTAGACCCCAAGAAAAGCCAGCCTGGGTGGGATTGGGATACAGTCCTGTAAAGTCAACCTTAAGAAAAGAAGGAAGAAAAAGTTGGAGGCTGAGGTTTAAGGAAAGACCATTCAGGCTTTAGGTCTTACCTTTCAATTCTGTGACTACTGGGGAGGGGTGAGTCAGTGATATTCCAGAAAGTTCTGAAAGTTGCAAAAAAAGGGTGCTGCCAAACTTTAAAACAACTGGTAGGTGGTATACATAGTGCCTCTCCCTTTCCACAAATTTCCACCACTTCTATCAATGAAAGTCTGACTCGGTATGATCCCCCAGCTGTTTCTCCAGACTCTCTCCACATGGAAGAAAAGAATTATCAGCAACATACTCTTTCATGAATTTTTCCACTCCACAGAAGCCCAGCCTCAGACCACAAATCCTAGTTTTGTCCTCCAATACAAGCGAAGTAGGGTAGGCCTCCCTCTGCAACTTTTGATGCCTGGTGATCCCTTTTCTCCAACTGACCCATGGTCTTTAGCCAGCCCATTCTAAGAGCTCTCTATAAAATTTCCAGTATGGGGCAGACGGAGGCCCAGAAAAGGCACTTTATCCATTCCTTCATTCAGAAAGCATGTATTAAGTATGTATTATATGGCAAAGCTGCTGCTAGGTAGTGAGGTACTACAGTGATCAAGACAGACAGACAGAGATCCTTCTTTCAAGGAGCTCAGAGTCTAATGGAGGAGATAAATATTAAATAATTATAAGACTGATAAATCTATTCTGGTTCCAGCATTCAGTCCTACATGTACCAAAGTGGTCCGAGGTTGGTGGGCAGGGAAGATGTAGGAGGTGAAGGCCATAGGATCTCTGCCACCCAATCCCCAACAGTTCTAGCTTTCTATCATATGGATGCTTCACTGCATCCATATTCTACCCCCTTGATAGAAATTACAGCTCAAGGCACAGCTTTCAACAATCCCTTGTTGGTCCTTCTTCTGGATACATTTCATGTATTTACCATTTGTTTCTTACCAAAACCAACATGTTACCATAGCTGGTTGAGAGCAGGAGCCATAGAAGAAAGGACACCCAATAGAAGCTTTGTCATGTCAAGACCCAACCAGTATCAAAACTGTGGCAGGAAAGGAAGAATAAATATAGAATAAATATTTCAATCTCAATGTGTATGTGTATGTGTGTGTGTATTTCCCTCTCGAATCTTCCACTGGCTAGTAAACCCAGTCTGAAGCCAAACCCAACCAGCATTCAGGTGATCAAGTCAACAGAGATTAACTTACAAGGGCCAAAAAGAAAAGGCTGATTCAAAGAGCCAAATAGAAAACAATAAGCCAATCACACCTCTTTGTCAAGAACATTTCAAAAGAGAATAGCTTTGGGGATCCCTGGGTGGCTCAGCGGTTGAGCATCTGCCTTCAACCCAGGGCGTCACCCTAGAGTCCTGGGATCAAGTCCCACATCGGGCTTCCTGCATGGAGCCTGCTTCTCCCTCTGCCTGAGTCTCTGCCTCTCTCTGTGTGTCTCTCATGAATAAATAAGATCTTAAAAAAAGAGAGAGAAAATAGCTTTTAAAATTTATTACAAAGAGAATATGTTATTTTGGTAATAAGGTTGGTTTGTTTTTAAAGATAGGGCAAAGAGCCCCAATATACCACCTAATACATGGCAAATTAGCCTTCACTGGCACAGTTAGCCCTGAGTTGTTAAGAGGGCCATCCTGCCTGAATAGCCTACATGAGAACCTCAGAGCTCAACCCATTGTGAGGCACATGGGTGGTGTCTGAGGTTCTAGAATTCCCGGGAGCTGTAGCTTAGCATTAGGAGCTTCTGCTTACAGTTTTCCTTCACAGCTCTTGGGTGTCCTTCACCAGGGTCTCCTCTTTCCCAAAATCCAGATGAAGTTTCTCTTACTAATGAGTCTTTATCTGATTGGATATGCCAGAGGTGAGTCCCCTAACTTGGCCCTTGGGAAACTTCTTTAAGGTGTTATAGCCCTTGAAGAAGGAAGACCAGGAGCACCTGGGTGGCTCAGTCAGTGAAGCATCTGCTTTTGGCTCAGGTCATGATGCCAGGGTCCAGGGATCCAGTCCTGGATCGGGCTCCTGGCTCTGCAGGAGCCTGCTTCTCCCTCTCTGTCTGACTGCCACTTTCCCTGCTTGTGTGCACTCTCTGTCAAATAAATAAAATCTAAAATAAAGAAGAAAGACCAGAATATGTTCCCAAACCAATCTGACTCAAAATCAGGAATAGCTAAACAAGTTCAACTCTGAGAGCTTCTGAGCCAGTTGATTCTTCCTAGTAATGGCTTTATCATTAGAGAGGCCTGCTGGCTTGGAGCAGTCTCATTCTTACTACTTTTTTCAGCCACTGATCATTTGTACCTGATGATCTGTGAGATGCAAAGACAGGTCTAAGGGTTCTGTGAAAATCCAATAAAAGTTTGTCTCAATGAACTGAGTGCAAGGGATCCTTATGTAGCTAATGTAGCAAGGAAAACAAAGGAGATGGGAATATGATGTACCCAGAAAGCCATCTCAGGACACAACAGGGCTATGGGCCAGAGACTTTATGAACCTCTCCTTCCTGGCCATGTTCTTTCTACCCATCCAGTTGTCTGTATTTCCTCTTTGAGGATCCTCATTCATAATGGGCTGTGCTCCCTTATTCCTCCTAGAGAAGAGAGAGGCCATGAGCTCTGAACTGTCAGTTAAATGACAAAGTGTTGCCATTTAATGTTGTTTGTCCGAGATTTCAGTTTTTTGCTTAGATTTTCCAAAGTTGGGACGCCTGGGTGGCTCAGCCATTGAGCGCCTGCCTTCAGCCCAGGGTGTGACCCTGGAGTCCCAGATTGAGTCCCACATCAGGCTTCCTGCATGGAGCCTGCTTCTCCCTCTGCCTGTGTCTTTCCCTCTCTCTCTCTGTGTGTGTGTGTGTGTGTCTTCATGAATAAATAAAATCCTCTAAAAAAATAAAAAGAGATTTTCGAAAGTTGACTTAGAAATGTAGATATATAGCTACCAGATGGTAGTATATGCCAGCCATGTGGCAAAGCAGTAAGTCATCAACTATAAGAATGGCTAAGAAATGAGTGTGCTTTTTCAAGCCTCCTTTCCACATCAGAAATCTCTTTATTAAAACTTCTGTTAACTATTAAAGAATCAGTCAAGCAGATAATACTCAGTAACAACTTTTAAAAATAAAACCTCCCAAAAGCTTTTCCAAACCTTGTTTTTCCTTTATCAACATATTCTAATCTTAGTCTTTAAGAAAGTCATTGATTATAGACTGTGAATCACCCAGAATATATGTATCTATTGCAGGGCTCTTACAGAGATAAGGGTAATTTCGAGCCTTAGGTTACCTCCAGCTCAAAATATCTTGTCATTCCTCTCAGCTTTTGGCTAGAATTAAGATTCGGTCCTTGTAGTCTACCCACCCTCCTCTGGGTTACTCAGTCTAACCAAAGAGTAATAATCAAATTGCTTGGTGCTACATTCAATAAAATGAAAGTCATACCTAAAGAATATTTGTCTGATAGTCATTGGTGAGGTGGATTAAAGGTAGAAAGGATTGGCTGGCCAGAAGAGAATGACCTGCTAAGAGTTTTTTAAGCCCCAGGGTAAAGTGGGGAGGAGAGAGAAATAAAATTGAGCACTTAAGCCATAAACTAGGTGCTTCACAATTTTTCATACTGAAAACTCATGGCAACAGCATAAAGTGGGTATAAATGTTATATCGCAAGGAATCTGAATTCAGAAATAAATAAGCAAAGAATGTTTTTATCTTAATAATTGATTCCAACTTTGAGTCTCTAACCCACATGGATTGGTGATTGAGTGTAAGAATAAAAATGTCTTAAATCCCATCTGATCATTTTTGTGGGTTCATTAGATATTCGTCATCTCTGGTTGAAAATTTTATCCTATCTGAAGTGTAAAATCCTCCACCTTCAATTACAGCTAGAATTACTTAGCTATTGAAACAACTTGCTTTCTCTTTCCCTTTTGTATCTTTATCTTTCTTGCTTTTCACCCACAAAAGACTGGAGGGAGGGCTGGTGGTAGACTTCTGATTATGTGATTGATGGCACATTGATTTCCTGAAGCAGGAAGGCACATCATTTTCCCTTCAGGTGCTTTTGGTACATGGGCTTCCCTGTGCATTTCTTAATAATGTGGATCTTAAAATTCTTCCTTTAAATACCAGAGGCAGTCTCAGTGCGTTTCATTAACACCTCTGTCCTTCATGGTCTCTTGGGTAACTAAATGATATCCTCCAACATCTGCAAGATCTTCAGATGCCTGACCAGGCCCAAAGGAAACCCAGGAATTCCACCGTAGCTTTATTGTATAAGAAAAAGTCTTTGGGCAGCCTGGAAGGCTCAGCGGTTTAGCGCCGCCTTCAGTCCAGGGCCTGATCCTGGAGACCCGGTATGGAGTTCCATGTCAAGCTCCCTGCATGGGGCCTGCTTCTCATTCTGCCTGTGTCTCTGCCTCTCTCTCTCTCTGTCTCTCATGAATAAATAAATAAAATCTTTGGGAAAAAAAAAGTCTTTACCCTAGATATTCGTTCTCTTATCTTCACCATCTTCTGTTCCTTCTCCATTCCAGGAGCATCAGGTCAGCCTGATGAGTCTCCTGGCTCTATGGCTCATCAAGCTTCAGTTCAGCAACTTTCAGGTGAGTACTTTTCACTTGGAAACCCGTCAGATGGTGAGGCTTTATATGAGACTGCTGCAGGTGAGAACACTTTAAGTGAGCACACTTCAGGTGAGCATACTTCCGTTGAGCACGCTGCAGCTGAACATTCTTCAACTGAGCATACTTCAGGTGAGCACGCTTCAGGTGAACACACTTCAGGTGAACGTGCTACGGGTGAACACACTTCTGGTGAACATGCTACAAGTGAGCACACTTCTGGTGAACAGCCTTCTGGTGAACAGCCTTCCGGTGAAAAGTCTTCAGGTGAACAGCCTTCCGGTGAACAGTCTTCTGGTGAAAAACCTTCAGCTGAACAAACTTCAGGTGAACAGGCTGTAGCTGAAAAGCCTTCAGGTGAACAGGCTGTAGCTGAAAGGCCATCAGGTGAACAAGCTTCCAATGAGAAGGCTTCCAGTGAACAGGCTTCAGCTGAACAAGCTTCAGCTGAACAGGCTTCAAGTGAACAGGCTTCAAGTGAAAAGCCACTGGGTGAACAGCCTTCAGGCATTCCACCTTCAAGCACATTTTCAGGTAAGGCACATTTTCAGGGGAAGCACATCTGGTTGGGTGCTAGTCCTTGATTTCAGGTGTAAAATATGCAACACATCAAGAAACCCAATTTTAAGGAGAGGGTTTGGAAGAAAGACCAGTTCACAAACAGTTCATAGCTCTCTCAAAGACACTCTTTACACCTCTTTACAATAGTACCAGGAAGGCAGGAGACAGGTTTTGTGGGGCTCTGAAGGCTAAACAATTTTGAGGGCCCTTTAAAAAAATGAAATAACACAAATACAAAATTCCAGCAGTCCCTCCAACTTCACTCTATGTAAGTAATTACAAATACAAATGCCCACTGCTCCCTTGGAAGGAGCAACTAACCTTCATGAGAGACTAACCTTCATGAACTTTGTGCTAAATCTGCCTTAACAATCTATGTTAGAGGGCAGCCAGGATGGCCCAGTGGTTTAGCGCTGCCTTCAGCCCAAGGCGTGATCCTGGAGACCCAGGATCAAGTCCCATGTCAGGCTTCCTGCATGGAGCCTGCTTCTCCCTCTGCCTGTGTCTCTGCCTCTCTGTGTATCTCATGAAAATAATAAAATCTTAAAAAAAAAAAATCTATGTTAGAATGCCTGTCTAGTGCTGGTGTCTCCATTTTGTTTGTTTAAATGTGGAAATTAAAGCATGAACACACTTTAGTCTCTGCTAGGTTCCTAAAGAAGTTCCCAGCACAACTGCAATTCTTTGGCTCTTACTAAAAAGGGTTGCTCAAGGAAGGAAAACCAGATCCAGAGTTTGACACCTCAAGATATTACCAGACATAAGCACTTCATATTTCCTCCCATTGCATATGTAGTGGTATTCCAATCTTCAGACGAGAGAAGTGAGACTAACATCACATAGCTGGAGAGTTACAATCCTTGGATCCAACTTAAGTTGCTCTGACACATCTGCTCTGACAAGGCCCACATCTTTCCTATTTCTTTGTTTCCCTAACTAGGGATTTGGCAATGGAGATAGTAAAAGAGACAAGATGGAAGCATTTCTTAAAGAATGCCTTTTGTGACAAATTGACATAGTTGACGGTTGACTTGAAAATGGCGAATGATCAATCTACACAGAATCTGCAACATCAGAGCATTCTAACATAGCTTGTTAACCAGTTAGCTTGTGCTCTAAATATTTGTGCCTTGTGGGTGAGAGTATGATGGGGGGAGTCCAAATGGGAGCCAGTCATATGATTAAAGTTCTTCTTTGCTCCTATGGAGTTAGACATGGCAAAAGGACATCTAATTATAAATGTCCAGGAAGTCAGGGGGAATATGAATTGGAGTTAACATCAGTATTATAGAGAGAAATTTGGGATTCTTCAGCAATGACAATGATAGATGAAGCAGAAAGAATGAAGGAATTTCCTCTAGTCCAGAAGATAGACTATGCTTTATCAGACATAGGGCCCTCAAATGCCCAAGAACCAAACAATGAAGCGTGTTATATCCAGGCCCTTCATTCCTCTCCTTGTGACTCATAGCTCTGTGCCTAGTCCATCAGGAAATTTCAACAAGCTTATCTTAAATTTGCAGGTCCAATATTAAATTGTCACACATGCTCATATATGAATGATCAAGGAAAATGTCTTCGTGGAGAGGGAGTCTGCTCCACTCAGAATTCCCAGCAGTGCATGTTAAAGAAGATCTTTGAAGGTATGTGGGGACTTCATGATACAATCTTTGCCAGAGAAACACACATCAACTAACTTGAGTAAACTCTGGAGAGCAGCTGGGATGGCAAGAGCCTGAGGACGGGTCAAGCTGCAATTCCCCAGAAACTTGGGAGATTCAGGAGAAACTTATCCTCTCAAGAATTAAGAGCAGAATTCCAGCTACTGATTGGGAGGTAGAGGCCTTCCCAGGAGCACTCTGATGTCTTAAAAGGAGACAGGGAGACTAGCCATCTCTTCCTCTTAAAGAAATGTATGAGCTGTACCTTGAGATGTTGAGACATTGACCATAAGCTCAAGACTGTCTTGTTCACAGCTATATTTTCCTAGCACTTAGCACAATGTTTAGTACATGGTAGGCATTTAGTAAATGCTGAATAAATGAATAAACCATTGTCAATCAGTCAGTGTTCACAGGTTGCTGGACCTGTCTTATTATATTCCCATACCTCTCTACCCTTATACCAAAATAAAGGATCTTGGTTACTGCCATTCTATGAAACATACTACCTGACTTGTGATTTGTCTAGTCCCTCAACAGAGGGCGTGGGCAACAGATATGAGGAAGGGCCCAGAAGACAGATGGAAGGAGAGGGGAGAGGGCAGCCCTGGTGGCTCAGCAGTTTAGCGCCGCCTTCAGCCCAGGGCGTGATCCTGGAGACCGGGGATCAAGTCCCACGTCGGGCTCCCTGCATGGAGCCTGCTTCCCCTCTGCCTGTGTCTCCACCTCTCTCTCTCTCTCTCTCTCTGTCTCATGAATAAATAAAATAATAATAAAAAAAACGGAGAGGGGAGGAAGAATATACAAGCTGGAGGTCTTGGTTGTGCTTGCAGGACACTGGGGGCCATGGGTGAAGGCGAAGGACAAGGAGGAAGCCTTCTGCTCACTACAGTCTGTCTCTGCTTCTTTCAGGTGGAAAACTCCAATTCATGGTTCAGGGATGTGAAAACATGTGCCCATCTATGAATCTCTTCTCCCATGGAACCAGGATGCAAATTATATGTTGTCGGAACCAATCTTTCTGCAACAAGATCTAGAAGCCTATGCCCTTGCTTCCTACCCTGACTCAGGCAGCAAAAATCCTCCATCACCCAATATGGCCCAATTTATGTTTTGTTTCTTCCCCAGTCAACAACTAATCACATCTGCCTCTGCCTGAGTGTTAGACAGAATGTGCAAATACTTCACTTTTCTTCTCCTATCCATGCTGTTTCCCATTTTTCTCTGTCATCTGTCTTCCCTTACCCCATCTCTCAACATTCTTTTCTTTCTCAATAAATTCCACATGGTCAAGAATACAGACTGGAAAACGGACTTCTTTTCCTATCAGTCAGTTGCAGGATCAGTCAGATCTTGCTTCCTCTCCTCACACTAAAGTGGATGCATTTTAAATCACTCCACATTCCTCAAAGTGGAGGAGTCCCCCAGGGCAGAGACCACAAAGAGAAATGCAGGGTAGCTCAAACAATACTGTGGGGATCTTCTCTGACCCCCCTCCTCTTCCATCCCAATAGAAACCCTACCCCTTTCTACCATCCAATGATGTGGTCCAAAACTCAATCCTTCTTTGGCTCTTGAGAGTTTCAGTCCTTAAGAGTTTATTCTTAACATAATTATAACAATAAAATGACTTTAAAAAAATTTGTTATTAAATATGTAGTAGGTCATACTGCTTAAATCCTTTTCTCACACAATGTTACTGGATCGTCTCAGCATTGGAGCAGGTGGAAATACTGTAATAGTCCCTCTCTCTCCTTGTATTAGTGCTATATTCAATGTGTTTTCATACAAATGGTCTCATCGTCTCAGAAAAAGGCCCAGTAAGGGAGACAAGAAGGATAGCATCATCCTTAGTTTACAAATACATAGGATTTATTTATTCATACTCCATGTTGTTCCAAACTTGCCATGGTTACAGAGCTACATTGAGCCAAGGCCAGATTTCAAAACCAAATCTGCAATTCAATTTGTTTCCAGCACATAAGTATCAGGCAGAACAGTTCTTTCAAGACCAAAGTCAATCCTCTCTTCCTATACAAGCCCATCTCCTTTCAGCCACTGCTCTCTCAAAGCTCTGTTTAAAACCACCTGAGTAAAAAAAATAAATAAAAATAAAAATAAAATAAAATAAAACCACCTGAGTAGTCTTAACAGTAGTCTTAACAGTGTCTTGTGCAGAGCGAAAGCCTTTAATTTTGATAAAACCCAATTCACTAATTTTTTCTTTTATGGACAGGGTTTTAGATTTCATGCTTAAGAACTCTTGGAATACAGGGCACCTGGGTGGCTCAGTGGTTGAGCATCTGCCTTTGGCTCAGGTCATGATCCCGGGGTCCTGGGAGACAGTCCCACATCGGGCTCCCTGCAGGGAGCCTGCCTTTCCCTCTGCCTCTGTGTGTCTCTCATGAATAAATAAAATCTTAAAACAAAACAAAACAAAGCTCTTAGACTACTACAGCAAGAAACAGATTTAACTGTTTGTGAAACTTAAAAATTATATACACACACATACATACATCATGGACCCTCTCCCAAAAACATATTGGTAACAGACTCTTCATTGGCAAGAACTGTTGGCTGGAAGACAAACTCATTTCACTTTTTTTTAAACAATCACTGGAGGCATGTTTCTCAGTATATAATTTTATTTTCCATTGTCTAAAACTCAGTGATGTTTACATTCATATTTTTTTATATGGGAATATCCAAATTGACAACATATTAAACATTGTTGTACTTTAATAGAGAAATATAAGCTGTGACAAATTTAATATTTTCATCTATGGATTTAAGTATGTACTACTATGTGAGACAAGATTCCATCAAAATCCTAGAGAACACAGGCAACACCCTTTTTTAACTTGGCCACAGCAACTTCTTGCAAGATACATCCATGAAGAGAAACAAAAGCAAAAATGAATTATTGGGACTTAATCAAGATAAGAAGCTTCTGCACAGCAAAAGAAACAGTCAACAAAACTAAAAGACAATCTACAGAATGGGAGAAGATATTTGCAAATGACCTTTCAGATAAAGGGCTAGTATCCAAGATCTGTAAATAACTTCTTAAACTCAACACCAAAGAAACAAACAATCCAATCATGAAATGGGCACAAGACATGAAGAGAAATCTCACAGAGGAAGACATAGACATGGCCAACAAGCGCATGAAAAAATGCTCCGTATCACTGGCCATCAGGGAAATACAAATCAAAACCACAATGAGATACCACCTCACACCAGTGAGAATGGGGAACATTAACAAGACAGGAAACAACAAATGTTGGAGAGGATGCGGAGAAAAGGGAACCCTCTTACACTGTTGGTGGGAATGTGAACTGGTGCAGCCACTCTGGGAAACTATGTGGAGGTTCTTCAAAGAGTCATAAATAGATCTGCCCTATGACCCAGCAATTGCACTGCTGGGGATTCACCCCAAAGATACAGATGCAATGAAACGCCAGGACACCTGCACCCCGATGTTTATAGCAGCTATTATGTCCACAATAGCCAAACTGTGGAAGGAGCCTGGTGTCCATCGAAAGATGAATGGATAAGGAAGATGTGGTTTATGTATACAATGGAGTATTACTCAGCCATTAGAAATGACAAATACCCACCATTTGCTTTGACGTGGAGGGACCTAGAGGGTATTATGCTGAGTGAAATAAGTCAATCGGAAAAGGACAAACATTATATGGCCTCGTTCATTTGGGAAATATAAAAAATTAGTGAAAGGGAATAAAGGGAAAGGAGAGAAAATGAGTGAAAATATCAGTGAGGGTGACAAAACATGAGAGACAGCTAACTCTGGGAAATGAATAAGGGGTAGTGGCAGGGGAAGTGAGCGGGGGGTTGGGGTGACTGGGTGATGGGCAATGAGGGGGGCACTTGGCGGGATGAGCACTGGGTGTTATGCTATATGTTGGCAAATTGAACTCCAATTAAAAAAAAAAAAGGTATGTACTACTGGCTTAAAACCAAATGAGCTGGGCACTGACTTTGGATATGTATTTCCATGAAGACAATCATCAATGTGAACAGAGTGGTAACTAGCACTTATGGAATATATACCCTAGGCCATGCAATGCATTTAGCAGTCTTGTTGATGCCTTCTCTTCTAATCCTGAAAACAAAATTATTAAATTGTGGTATATAAGTATACAAAATTAAGATTATTAATTAAATTATTAAGATTACAGGATCCTAAGCAAGACAAACTGGAGAGTTTTTTCACAAGTCAAAATAAATGGTTGTGGTCCAGAGACTCCCTCAGGCTCCTTTTCAAACTTCTCAAATTTCTGAGTGAAAATTATTTTGGACACATAGTACTACTCCTTGATAAACTGGCATTCAGAAATAAAGTACCAAACCTGGAACTAAAATTCTAAATGAATTCTCAACTTGAAATATGGTCTACTGAAGGCAAGAAGAAAAATGGAATCCTACTAACATTACCTGACATGTTTTTTGAGGGAACGAAGGGAATAAGTAGTAGCTAAATCTATGCTATAAATATAGTTACATATGTTAAGGAAATAAGTTCAAATATGTGGTTAAAAAGTAAGAGAAGGGAAGTTCTGGCTTCCATTAATAGTGTAATAGTTTGGTCAAACTAACCTTCCTTCAGATAACAATTATAAATGGGGCAAAAAATAGAAAAGAACTATTTGAAAGTTCCTTTAAAGGAACTGGAGAGAAGTCACCCCTAAAAAGACAGGAACAGTGCTGGGTTAGAATTGCAAGTCTGTGGCCTTATGCCTAAGAGGATATTTTAGTCCACTTATCAAGGACAAACCCACAATTTACTCCTTTGAGGAATCAGAGAATAAACATTAGGGCTGGCAGAGCAGCTGTAAAATTAGAGAAATCCTGGAAAGTAAGAAGCCACAATGAAACCTCAAAATGAATATAAACTATGAACAAATTTTTGGCTGATCACTGACTCCAGGAAGCTGAAAGAACTGAACAGAGATGTGTGCTGCTATCTACCTCAAAGAAGATAGAGTTTGGACTACAAGTCTGTGGGACTCAGGAAGTTTAACAAAAATCCCCTGCCCCTGGACAAGTAGAGCAGGACTAACTCCATTTTGTGCTGCACCCGCCACCTCCTGTATCACCCCCACAGGACCTGCTTATTGCTTAAGGCGCTGCCCCACCCTAGTCAAGCCGCTGGGCACACCCTAATCAGAAATCGGCTCATAACAATGTAACCCCGCCTTGTGCCCACCAAAACTGTGCACCCATTCTGACCAGAGTGATAGGCCAGTTCAAATGGATACTATAGGGTAAGATGTAATTCAATCGGCCACCTGCGTGTGGACCGACATAACTGTGCAACTTTCTGGGTATATTACAATCCCACTGGCCACTGGCCACTGGCCCCTATAAAGCTGCTACGCCTCTTGGTCTCGGGGTCCAAGTCCCTGCTCCGCTGTGTCGGGTATACTTGGACCCAAGCTCGAGCTTGCAGATAAACCCTCGTGTGTTTGCATCGGTATCCGCTCCTTGGTGGTTTCTCGGATTCGCAATCTTGGGGACAACATTTGGGGGCTCTTCCGGGATCCGAGAGATCCCCAGGACTTCATCCGGAGGGTTTCACGCGTGGTGAGTGCACTCAACTTTTTCCACCTTTTGCGCGCGTATTTTCTGAGAGCTGTAAACTGTACTTTACCTGTAGGAATTCCAATCTGTATTGGGTCGGCATTGGCTTAGGTGGACGCACTGGTGGGCCGTCGACCGGGGGTCTTGAGGAGACGTCCCTTGCCCTTGCCTGGAGGACAGAGTTCCTCATCTGTAAGGAGGACAGGAGTCCTCGTCTGTAAGGAGGGCCGGCTGCCAGCCCTTCGGGTTACTTTCTGTTTTGTCTGAGGCCGCACTGGAACATTTGTCTCTTACCGTGTTCTTGTTCATTGCTTTGTGCGCTGGTCTGTGTTATTATGTCCTTGTTAACTTTTGTGTTTGTGCATTTGTCTGTGTTGTTGGGTCCTTGTTAATTGTCTTTACTGTTTCTTGGTGTGGATTGGGGACATAATGG